GCCGATATCATTGGCTGGAGTCTCCTCATAGGATGATCCTCAGGTGAACTAGTGATTACTTGCTCGTACACTAATAGAAAAAATAATCGATAAACAATCATTGGTTTTTCGTGTACTTGTGTTTGCAATGCTCGATGACGATTGACTTCCAGGATCTACATGGCGATTGGCCTTAACCTCTCACTCCCTCACCTCCCTCACTCCCTTACTCCCTCACCTTCCTGACTTCTTCACTTCCCTCACCTCCCTGACCCCTGATCCTCTCATCTCCCTCACTCCATCACTCCTTTACTCCCCTCACTCTCACTTCCTCACTCCCTGACCCTCGCCCTCACTCCCTCACCCTCGCTCTCTCATGTAGAAAAATTAATAGAAAGACAAACAGACAGGTAGACAAGCGGAAAGATATGTAAAAAGACAAGTAAACAGACAGACAGACAGACTGACACATCATACTGTCCACACAACACTAAAACACTCACACCAGAACAGATGAAACACAGAACACAAACTCAGGTGTACTTTTTTTGCACTTGTTGAAACCCGATGTAAAATCCTAAGCAACCCCCAGCGGGAGAATGACGCTGGGATTGCTGTATAATTAATTTTCTCTGGTTAAAAATGTGTCTTGGATACGTGGGGAGACTTCGATGTTGGAGGGAGTGGGTGGGGAGGAGATGGGGGGGTGAGGTGAGAGGGGAGGGGGGTGGTTGGATAGGGGAGAGAAATGAGGTAGGAGGTGGTGGGGTGAGGTGAGGGGGAGGGGGTAGAGTTGAAGGGAAGTGGAAGTGGAATGAAGAGGGGTTGAGAAGAAGGAGTGAGATAAAGAAGAGAGGAGTGAGATGAAGGGGATATAAGAGGGAGGAAGAGGGAGTTGAATTTATGCAAAACAAGAGAGATCTTCGATACATAATACAAACTGCAAAGTACTGTCGTGTTTGGTCATACGTGAGTTGCATGCAAGGTTGTTATGTTACATTAACTCGTAAAATTAAATTCTCAGAACACAAAGGATATCAACAACTCATTCATAACACGTTTTGCAGAGTACTGCCGTTTGTGGTGTACGTGTGTTGCATGTAAGGCTGATAGATTGCTAGATTGCAGTAACTCGTGAGGCGGAGAATAATACAAACAAATTATACCTTTCAGAGTTAGGTTAGGTTAGGTTCATTTATGTTTGGTTACATTAAGTTATGCTAGGTTGGGTTAAGTTAAATCAGTTCCTCCTTGTGTTAGGTGAGCTGAGCGAATAAGTAAAAGTTAAAGTTCTTATCATAACCCGAGATTACAGGATTCTGGTACACGTAAATAAACAATCCCGTCTTTTTTATAATAATTATTTTTATTTTCATTCGGGTATGTTTTTATTTTCTTATTTTATTCTGACTTGAGAAGAAAATATACTTAATATATAAACAAGAGACATATCAAGAAAAATGAATAGTGGAGTAATTTTACGTAAGAAAGTTTTATGTAAATTAAAAAAAAAATCCTTGTTTAATGTTTAATTTCATCTTAATTTTTTAGTCTTCATCCTCTCGGCTTTCGGTCTAATACCTAAACACAGTTATATAGAGAGGAACTTAACATACATATAATATAAATTCTTTACTGTTATCCTACCGGGCTTAACTACTCTTCCTATAACCTATATAATTGGTCAATTATCAACGATGCTGGTTATATAAAATAGCTAGTGATTTATGAGGTAGTTGTGGTATAAGTAAGTGTGCGCGCGCGCGTGTGTGTAAGTGTGTGTGTGTGTGTGTGTGTGTGTGTGTGTGTTCGTGGGCAAGTCAAGTGGCAACGCTAATCTACACACACATTACTTGGGGTGAAAAATGAGTCGGTAGATTGATTTTATCAGTGTATAGGAGTGAGAGGCGGGGAGAGGGGTGTAGCGGAGGCGGGAAGCGGGGTGTAGGAGAAGTGGAGAAATGGGTGTGGGGAGATTGTGTCGGAGAGGTGGGTGGGTGTGGGAGTGGCGGGAAGAGGGATGTGAAAGAGAGGGATTTAGGTAGTCTTCAGAGGAAGAGTGAGAGGCGGGAAGAGAAGTATAGGGTAGGAGGAGGAAGAGGAAGAAGAATAGTACGAGGAGCGAGGAGGAATAAGATACAATGTGTCTGATCTGTTCACTGACACACAGGACAGAGGTTCATACACAAAAGGATATAATAATATAGATCGTATCTACTGTATTAGTGTATGACCAATCACTTACAACAGGCAGATAATGACAACGCTGCTGATGATAACTCCCCACACGACACAAGTGTACTGTATGGAGGACAAAGCTTGAATGCTCGCTGGTGGGCGTTTGCAATATGAAATCTCACTTTCTGTCAAGTGGTGTTGTGGTTATCTCATCGTCAGGTGTAACGCCAACCCACGGTTGTTCCCAGGGTGGACTGATTAACACTATACCACCTGGTGAGAAGATGGTGGTCGGCTCCCAGGGGTGTGGACCTCACTGGTGGGTGTGACGGTTAACTTGGTCACGACTCGTCTGTCACTGTCTAGCGCTGACTTTACTGGCCTAAACACTGTTCAACACTGATTCCACTCCTTTCAGAAACGAAATTGGACATTTTTGGTGGGATTTTCTTGACATCCCGATGGGGTAGAGGGGGTGAAGAGAGGAAGTTGGAGTGTGGTCCAATAATTGGCCCTGGCAGCGGCCACAGCAGCACCTAATAAGTTTTGACCCTCCGATGGTCAAGGATGTAGTGTGTGTGTGTGTGTGTGTGTGTGTGTGTGTGTGTGATACCCTTGCTTAACTCTACATTCTCATTCATTGATTTCTCATCGTATTTTCTTTGGCTTACTTCATACTTGCCTTTGTATTCTTCAGATAAACTTTCACTACATCTGTCTTCTCCCTCAGACAAACTTTACCCTCTCAACATAACAAGTTCCCTGGAGTCAGTTTCGGTATTGAAGAACAGTAAATTCCCTTTGTGTTTCCTCTCCTCCTCCTCCATTATTCCTTTTCCTTATCTTGTGTATTCTATAATTTACATTGAGTTATATTATAAATCATGTATTTTACCTTAGAGAAAATAGACAAAAACATGACAACAAGAGAGTTTCCAAGGGAGGTGGCAACTGTGTCAGTGGCGTTGAAGAATGGAAATCCTTTTGTGTTCAGCTACAATGGGGGGTGGGGGGAGATGAACCCTTGAATACTAAGTGTCTCAAACCCCTGTTATGCCTTACTTGGTCTATTATCTAACTGAAGATATCACACAATTTAATATATGTCTGTCTGTCTGTCTGTCTGTCTGTCTGTCTGTCTGTCTGTCTCACACGTCGCAGAAGGAAAAGAGGATGGTCAGTGAAGAGAGGAAAGAGAAGAAGAAATGGAAGGAAAGGAGGGAGGGAGAGACGGCTGAAAGAGAAATGTGGAGAGAGAGAATGAATGAATGTCCCCCTCGAGTGCAATATATTGTTTCTCTTTCGTATCAACCACACATCCCCTCTCCCTCTCCTCCTCCTCCTCCCCCTCCTTCTCCTCCTCCTCCTCCTCCTCCTCTTCTTCCACCACCTCCTCCTCCTACTCCCACTTTCTTCTGTTCTTGCTACTTCCTTTCCTCCTCTTCCTCCCCCCCCAGAGGTCGCAGTGTCAAGATTTCAATGTATTATCACACTACTGTACCGAGATACTGCCAGACGGGAGAAGGGCTTGCTGAGAGAGAGAGAGAGAGAGAGAGAGAGAGAGAGAGAGATCACACATGAAAAAAGATTCGCCTTCTTCCTTTCCCTGTAGTATTTTCTCCCTCTCTTCATCTCTCTCTTCTTCTTTAATTTCTATCATCTTCATCATTCTCACTCCCTTCCTTCCTTCCTGATTCTTCCATTCTCTCAGCTATCTACTCCCTTCTTCTCTTATCCTTAACCCTCTTTCGTATTTCTTCCCTCTCTCTGTCTTTTCCATTCCCTTTCTCTCTCCTTTCTTTTTCCTCCTCTTCCCTTTCCTTTTTAAGTTCTGCGTCTTCTTCTTCCTACTTCCCCTCTCCTTTTCTTTTCTTCTTCCCCTCTCCCGTTCTCCTCACCATTCTATTTACTCTCTCCCTCTCTCCACCTCCCTCCTTCCCATCAACACCTATTGTCCTCCCTCACTCCTCCCACTCACTCTCTTCCCCACTCACCACACTCACTCTTAAATCCATCTCCACATTAATCTTGACCACCCCCCCCCACACACATACAGAAATTTGCATATATTCATCTTTTTCTCACTTACTATCTCTCTTTCTATCTCTCATTCTATCTCTCATTCTATCTCTCATTCTATCTCTCTTTTTCTATCTCTTTACCTCAGATTTTAAAGTTATTGGACTTGTATATGCCCCTCTTAGAATAATCTATTCCCTGCCACGAAGAAGAAGAAGAAAGAAGATAGAAGAAGAAGAAGAGAGAATAATAATAAGAAGAAGAAGAGAGAATAAGAAGATAGGGGTTCCATAGGCCTAACGACCATTAGGCACAGTGTGGTAGTGGTTCCAGGACTGTAAATAAACCACCTGTCCATCCTCAACTGTAATGTGAGATAGCAATTTACAACCCGGAGGTGAACTATGAGTACCCTGGGATCAAACCAAGTTCCCATAGGACGAGAGTTGAGTGCCGTGTCCACTTGACCTCCGCATACTTTATAAAATGTTGGGAATTTCAAAAAAGCAAAATCCCTAGTTCGTTTTTATGTTTTTTCTGACTATGCTGGTGATTTACGGCCGCTGTGATATATACTGGAGTTTGTGATCCTCAAGTGAGATGGGGGAGGATGGGGGGGGGTATTGGGGGGGAGTGAGGGAGAGCCTGGGGTATGTAAGGTGGCTGGTGGTGGTGGTGGAGGCTAGTGGTAGTGGTGAATATTGGTGGTGGAGATTGGTGATGATGTTGGTGGTGGGGGTGGTGGAGACAGGTGTTGGTGGTGATGATGGAGGTTGGTGGAGGTGGAGGCAGAGCTGCGCCGTCGTCCAGCAGTCAGTGGTGGTAGCGCGGGTGTCCCAGTGAGGTCGTCTCCATCCCTCGCTCAGTCGGCTCCCTCACCTCGCCCGGGAGAGAGTCACGAGCATCAGCGTCCCTCCGTCGGTTGGTTCCTCACCCTCCTGCAGAGTTACAGCGTTACTCCTCCCCCCCTTCCCCCACCTCAAGTGACACGAAACAGACGGAATAAGGCTCCCCACACCCCTCAAGACTCGCTACACACACGCTGAAATAGCACTTTCATGTCTGCCATACTTGTTTATAAACAGTGAAAACAATGATCTGATCTGTAGTTGTTTACACGTGCGTAGTTGAGGGTGGACGATGAGTGACACTGGTGAGGGGTGACGTGTGTGTGTGTGTGTGTGTGTGTGTGTGTGTGTGTGTCGTATACTGTGATTAAGGTTGAGTTTCTCAGCTCGTTTTATATATACATGACACTTAAGGTTGACAGTATGGAACTATCTCCTTGTTGCCATACACTTGGGGACCACAGGTAACATGACACCAACACGAAACTCTCTTCCCCCATAAAAATGACACTAACAACTGACACTGGCACGACACCCAATCAGGAACACTTATCATGACTCCCCTGCATGACACGACACAACACTCTGCTTCTGCCACACACACAACGAGCAAGACACATGTAAACAAACCATTCCTCCCAGACACGTCAACAACCTGGTCTTACTGTTGTTATGATGGTCGATCAAGTGTTGGTCTCCCTGTGTATCACTCCTGACGCCCCATCATGTTAAGGAAGCATGCTTGAAGCGCTCACATCACTGTTTAATTCTATACCCTGACGATATAGGAATATAGACCGCTACTGTTTATGTTAGTGACTCTGTAGGTAACGTTCTTGGTGTCAGTAGCAAGGAGGTGAGGTGAAGTGAGATTTCATTCATAAATAATTGTTCATTGAATCGAGACACGCGAGGTACTAAGATATGGAGTCTGTTTTGTAGAGAAATTATATATTGTATTTTTTTTATGCCGGATGGTAGAAACATCTCTTAGTTTATTATTATGACTTTGGCTGAATTCGTTTTGAAATTCAAGATGCATTTTTAATTAGAGATTTGACAAACAAAAATATTATCATCGTTTCTAAATTGATGCTTAAGTGTAGCCGTGAGATGTTAATTATTATATAGATAACCAATTGAATCACGTCTTAAACACGAATATATTGAAATAGTTTAGGAATACAGTGATAACTATGCCCTCTAACACACGCTTGTACCAGCTAAATTCATGTTGTTATAACTATGAATTTCAGCATACTCGCCTCCTGTCTGAATATATCAAGTGTTATATGTAACTTGTGGCATCCCGGGATATTGTCTAAATTTATTAAGGGTGATAAACAAGTCCTTGAACATACTCGTATACTCTGAATAACTAATATAACATCAAGTATACCTGTACAATATCTAAACACATGGATTAAAATAACTAATTAATTATTCTATATATTTCTATTATCACTTAGTTATGTTCCATGTAACAATCCAACGTCATTATATCTCTAAATTCAATATCAACAATAATACCGATTTGAAAAGTAAAGATGTAGTGTGTAAATTAATTCTGCATCATCACTTAACACTTGTGGTATATGATGATCGTGGGAGAATGTATCTATCATATAAGCAACACTATATGAGTAGGCTATACACGTTGTCTAAGTTTGTCTGTCATGAAGAGAATCACTTAGGTCAAATTAAAGGTGTCGTAGGAGGTGTAAAGTAAGAATATATTGATTTTATTTTTGAGACTGTGTGTGTTTGTGTTGATGGAGTTTGTGACTTAATATTAGTGACATGTCAAATAAGATTCACCGAAGCTTAAACACGTACATATTATACATTCATTTAGGTTTATTGGTGATTAATCTACAATGCTTGAATATTTGTGTAAGTTTAAAGGCTCTAAAATTGGCTTGATAATTATTTTTTTTTTTTTAGATTTGTAAATACGCTAGAAATGAGTTACTTAGACACACACACACACACACACACACACACACACACACACACACACACACACACACACACACACACACACACACACACACACACACACACACACACACACACACACACACACACGTTAATCCCTCTACCAGACTCGTTATAACTCAGTTCACTACATTAAGTGTTGGAATAATAATAAAAAAAAAACACAAAACAATATATATTTTTCTAATGATCTTTTCAGTTTAGTATGAAACGAAAATCCTTTTAAATCTGTTTGTTTTGAGCAGAGTCTTGGCTGAATATAAACTTCCAGGGTTTTGAATTTTCCATTTAAGTCGGTATAACCTTGGTGCAGAGTGAGACCCCCCCCCCCCACACCAAGGACTTCCGTCATAAACATTAGAGAATTTAATTTGGCGTTCAACTCTACAATAAAACAAAACTTTAGCTGTTTAGTAATTTCCATGATGCCTTTTTCATTTTGTGTTTCTTGTTTATTTCACGACCCACCGATACATTTAATTTTAGATCGGAATTAAAGTTTCGTATTCCGTTTCGCTCAGGTATAGAATCGATCGGGCGGGGTTGAGCCGTGTGGATGAAGAGGTTCCTCATCTTTGATCAGCCATTCGTCTCTCGGTGGATAACCCAAAACCTCGACTTGGTCATGAAAACGTTTAAATTCTGTTTGTCTAATTTACATATACACGACAAACCTTTTCTATTATTTTTGAAAATCACATTATTTTACGTCTTATGAATATTTGATTAATTAATTCAGCCAATACAGGTAAGACAACTCGTTCAATATGTTAAATTAGGTGATCTCAACTTGTTATCTGATTTCAATATACTACCGTCATTCTCCCGTATATCATTGACTTTTAAACTAAGTATCATTCATCCACTGCTGTACTGAGAGCCATTAAGCCTCCCTCACTAAGTCAACGTAATAAATAAAGCAAAACGAAACGCATTGTCTGATTTGCATAATGCCTTATCGTCTATTGTTTTTATCCTGTCATTCTAAGTTCTTATTGTGTCATTAACTTTTATTTATTCATTCAGTGCTTCCTTGAGTGCCACTAGCATGCTTCAATAATCTTACAGGACAAATTAGGCACAAAAAAACACCTTAGATTCTAAAAGAAGACCATGACTTTGTTTTTCTTCTCACAATTCGTAGTAAATATCACGTTATTATTTCTTATCTATTGAATCAGTGAACGATAATAACATGCATCAATAAACTAAACATATCAAATTACATTAGAAAATAGCAAAAAGTCATCGCCCCTCGACTCTTGAACTCTTATGATGACTGACACAACAAACTCACCGCTGACGTAAAGAAGAGGACACAGGTAATTCACTCAAGGAACTTCCCAGCTCGATCAAACTTCAGGATGTGGTTGTGGTCTCCCCTAGTGAGGCCTCAGCTCACTTCCAGTAGCAGTTGGAGGAAGACAACGACGACGACAACAACGACGACAAATAGCCAGAAGGAAAATCGTCATCGTCATCGTCATCCGCGGCGGGCTGTGGACGGCGTAGTGGTGGACGATAACAGACGGAGGATGTGTTTTGGTGGACTTGAAGCCCTCGTGTTGCTATGGACCTTGGCCACCAGTCTCTCCCTCGGGTGAGTGTTAAGTTTGTGTCAGGAAGTATGTGTCTTTGTGTCAGGCTGTGTTTATGTTTGTGTCAGGCTGTGTTTATGTTTGTGTCAGGCTGTGTTTATGTTTGTGTCAGGCTGTGTTTATGTTTGTGTCAGGCTGTGTTTATGTTTGTGTCAGGCTGTGTTTATGTTTGTGTCAGGCTGTGTTTATGTTTGTGTCAGGCTGTTCATGTTTGTGTCAGCCTGTGTTTATGTTTATGTCAATTAGTGTTTATCCCAGTCAGTGTTTATGTCAGCCTGTGTTTTTGTTTATGTCTGTGCCAGGTAGCAAGTAAACATGCTTGTGTCAGACAGGTGCACTCAAGATTCCCTACATGTATTATTTACTGATGGTCTGATGTGATATATACAGTTGACCTCCTCACAGCACTACGGATATACTGGGGTGATGTGAGTGAGGTATATAAATATCTTTGGCGAATATATCTCTATTACTGGTGTAAGGTGAAGTCTGTAATCTGAGGAAGGTATACTCCAAAACTAAAGGGATATATATCTATAGTTTGAGGAACCTTATATACGAATATATTAAGGCTTAATATACCTTTTGATTTTTTGAAGGAATTTATATAATCCTTCAAAAATTATATGATATATCCTATTGAGTAACGTGGAACTAATGGTGTTCTATGGTTGGTATGTCTGTTGATTATATGAGAGGTATGCACACCTGTTTTTATACCTGGTGTTGGTGTAGAGGCTATATCATTAGGGTGTATATACGTATATGTTCCCAGGTATGTCTGTCTGTCTGTTGAAAATAATGTTAACATATATATTTATAAACTGATGATACATTATTGTTGATAGTGAAAGAAAATCGTTTCGTAATAATGAAAAAAATAACAATTGATGAATTATGCTGTGACGTAGAACCATTGATGGTGTTATATTGAAGCATTAAACGAATCCATAGGTAACACAGCAAAGCATCAGGTTCACTGTGAGAGACGAACGAACCCTGTGTTACGAACGAACCTTGTATGTTACGAACGAACCCTGTATGTTACGAACGAATCTTGTATGTTACGAACGAACCCTGTATGTTACGAACGAACCTTGTATGCTACGAACGAACCCTGTATGTTACGAACGAACCCTGTATGTTACGAACGAACCTTGTATGTTACGAACGAACCCTGTATGTTACGAACGAACCCTGTATGTTACGAACGAACCCTGTATGTTACGAACGAACCTTGTATGTTACGAACGAACCCTGTATGTTACGAACGAACCCTGTATGTTACGAACGAACCCTGTATGTTAAGGTGACAAGTTTCACTCCCTTAACTTCCTTATCAGCGCGAGAATGCAATTGGAAAACTTACGTGGAGAGAATTTAAGTAGTTTGTGAATAAGCATACAGGTGAGTCACTGTTATGAAAATATGACAGTGAATTTCTACCTAGGTCATGAATTTCAATGGTGTTTCACTGTTCGATTCATCCTTTTGTATAAACAGTGAGTTTTTTTTTTACTTTTTCTAAACAAAATATTAGAGGGAGAGAGAGAGAGAGAGAGAGAGAGAGAGAGAGAGAGAGAGAGAGAGAGAGAGAGAGAGAGAGAGAGAGAGAGTATAAAGTACAGGTGTCCGATTAATTCCTTACCTATCGTCATGACTTGCCATCATTGTCGGTTCTACCTCGAAATAGGTGAAGATATAGGGAGTTATTAAGGAAAATTAGGTCCGGAAATAGGGAGCAATAGGTCAGGAAATAGGTACAGAAATTGGGAGTAAATCGGTGAGAAGGAAGGAGAGAAATAAGAATGAAATAGAACTGAGTTAGGTTACGGTACCATCATGGAATAGGTCAGTAGGTCACGGTACTCAATGGAATAGGTCAAGAGGTCACGGTACCATCATGGAATAGGTTAACAGATTACGGTACCATCATAAGATAGGTCAATAGGTCACGGTGCCATCATGAAATAAGTCAAGAGGTCACAGTGCCATCGTGGAATAGGTCAATAGGTCACGGTGCCATCATGAAATAAGTCAAGAGGTCACAGTGCCATCATGGAATAGGTCAATAGGTCACGGTACACCCAGAACCACATTTATTTGTGTGAGTGACTGTGATGTAACTCTTGTTTATATCGTGGTAATGAAACAGCAAATGATGGTCTCTCTCTCTCTCTCTCTCTCTCTCTCTCTCTCTCTCTCTCTCTCTCTCTCTCTCTCTCTCTCTCTTGTCTGTCTGTCTGCCTACTCCTCCATACGCCGTTCTTTAAGACCCTCAGATGATGAATTTGCATTTAAATTTCCATTACGGAAGACCTGAATACACCTGTGATCATATTTCTATGCAAATTTCCTCCCAGACGGTATCAGTTATGGCCAGGTAAGGAATGAAACACCATATAACACAAGAAATAGGTTAAGAAATTTGATAAAAAATCCATTTAAACATTTTTTGAAACTTTCTCTATAACACAAGTTGGAGATAAAGGGATGTTTTCTCTTTTACGTAAGCGGTATTGGATCGTACACTTAGTAGGATTAATAAGGTAGTGTTAGTTTGAATCTTACTAAGTGGGATCTAACACTGTCTTAGGAGTGGATAGGTGTCTTTAAAGTTTTATTGGATGGGGTTTATAGAATAATTTTAGTAGTATGTGGAAGCGAATTCATAAGGGGGAGACAGACAGACAGACAGACAGACAGACAGACAGACAGACAGGTTATGGGTGACTGATGCTCATACTAGTAACATTAGGACAAGAAGTAAGTGTTGTATCGACTCTGCCACCGCACACATTACCTCACTATAAGTAGGAATAATATAACATTATTAACGTAAAATATCCACCTGTTCCAACCATAGATTATGAAGGCGATGCGTAGTGTTGTGCGCTCGTCCGTCAGTACGTCCGTAAAGTTTTGTCCGCACAGTAACTTGAGAAAAAACTCGCGGATTGAGGTGAAATATGGCCATCCTCTTCACATTCAAAACATCTAGATCAAGTTCATTAATCAGTGTCTCTCAGTTATATTCGGTAGAGTTGTGGCCATTTATCGCTGTTTTGTTTTGTTTTAAGACAGAAATCAGATAGGTCTTTGTCTTTGCTGTTTTATTTGATTTTTATTGTTCTTTAAAATTATTTCTTTCTCTATATTGTATAAAAAGCAAGTTAGAGATCACTTATCGTCTTTCATTTTATTTTTCTTACGCCATCATACTTCAAAAAACTTTTAAAAAAATACTTATAAACTTTCTACTTTATTTACTTTACTCACTTGGCTATCTTGTTTTTAGGAAACTCGGAAACCTACTTATACTTACAAACTTTTCTCTTCATTTTTTTTCTCACTTTCACCATCTCGCTTCAAGAAACTTAGAACAAACTTATAAACTTTTTGCCTTACTATTTTGGATCCAAGTTTTTACCCAACACAAACTTTTGGTCATCTCGAGACTTTCCTCAACTTTTTGGTCAGCTAAAACTCTCTGTCATATGTCGGCATGTGTTGAAAATACCAATACCACGAACATAAACATTATATTCTTGTTTATACTCAAAATAAAAACAAACATAAGACGAAAATTAGCACATGAAATTATATGGGGGGAGGGGGATAACTATGGGGGAAAAATACATATCTGAGGGAAATATCTAGGGAGGGGGGACATGGATGAGAGCGTCAGGTATACGGGCAGGTACACAAACATGGAGACCTGTGTCGTAATATACCGCCCCCTTGTTGACAGGTGGATTGTACTTGCCTGGGCCCCAAGAGAGAGAGAGAGAGAGAGAGAGAGAGAGAGGACTCCCATCACATTTCTTCCCTACCTCACAGTCAAAACCTAGTCTGGTCTGAGTCACGTCCACCTTGGCTCGTTAAGCTACGGTCCCTCAGAGACAAAGGTGCTTTAAAGGGTCATTTTAGGCGTTTCATAACTGTCAAGATGCTATTTCTGGGAGACTGTGTGTGTGTGTGTGTGTGTGTGTGTGTGTGTGTGTGTGTGTGTGTGTGTGTGTGTGTGTGTGTGTGTGTGTGTGTGTGTGTGTGTGTGTGTGTGTTTTCAATTTCCGTTCCGTATACGTTCTCGCTATCACTCCATCCCATTTACTCGAAATTGGACCATGTAGTAGACTTATACACAAATATTTGCCCATTTACATATTTCAGCAGTGTAAACAGTATCCTTATTTACGTATCTCAGTTCGACGGGTCACCAATATCTATATCGTTTTTTACCCATTAACTAATTTTTTACCCATTAACCAATTTTTTACTCATTAACCAATTTGAAAATCTGATCAGAATTTTTGTCCATCATTTCTAGGGTTTACACAACCAATTTTTTGTATACTAGTCAGAACTTTTGCCTATTTAAATTGCATCAGATTTTATGTAAAATTTTACCATTAAGCTTAAAATTGATAATAGGGTGAAAACGTGCATGATATGACTATGTGTATGTAATCCACTGAATTGTTAAAAACCTTAAAAAAATATGCAAATTTATACATACACTACGAAAAATAAGTCATATACAGAAATTAAATAATTTTCAATCATAAACATCTTTTAGAAAATTTAATCTACGAAATAAAATTAAATCGTGTAAACATGATATCTTCTGAAGACTATAAACTTTAACACGTAATGATTGTGTTTATTTTTAGATCCATGTTTACAGTTCTTGTTTAGCATCAACCCTTCTCCTTCCTATACCCCAATGGCATTAAATTGGAATAAATAGCTAAAAGACGTCCATTTTTCCTTTTATTTACGTATTTTAGTCGTGAAAATATGGCGACTCTCTGTATGTAATCTCTTAGGTTTTATTTATAAGGTGGCAGCGAGCGTCAATAGGAGGGGATAATGGAAAGGTGAGATACTAAGATAGAAACGTTATGGTCGAGAAGGAAGCACACTTTCTCTTGGACTACCTGAACCTCACCCAGTAGACGGTGTTGCGGTAAAGTCACGTTACTATATGGTCAGACAACCA